ATTAACAACTGTTATTTCACCGTTTTTAAGTGCATCTTTGAATGCTTTTACGGCATCGGGACCCCTGGCTAAAATTTCTGATGGAGTTGATAGTTCTAATTTATATACAAACATAACAACAATTTTTATTATTTTCTTTTTTAATTATATTTTTGATTATTTACGAGGAAATAAACCTTTTTACGATAATCAAAATGTGGAAATAATACATTAATTGTGTAGAATTTCAAATTAAAAAAATAAATGTCAAACGTAATATGGGTGTATGATAAGTACTGTTTTAAATAGAGTTTGAAGATTTGATTCCACAGATATTTAATAAGTCAATCAACGTACTTTTAAGTAATTCTTTTAAATCTTGTTTATTTTCACTTCTCGTGGTTTCTTCGTATCCTTTACATTCGTTTCTATCATACAAATCAAGAGGCGTCCTTCCAAACTGCAATAACAGACACGTGCACGCGATAATTCATTCCATTGCAAGACAATTAAAAACCAAATAAACAGAAAGCAGTGATATATTTTAGTTAAATACTCAAAGATAATAATAAAACTAATATATCTAACGAACACTCGACAATGTTATCATCACGACATTATAATTATGTTGTAAATTACCATCCAATTAATTTATAATAAACATTATTAAACTCATACTTCTAAAAATTTTTAAAAATCAACATTATTACCCGTATGGTTTTTTTGTTTTCGATTTAATTTTGTTTGAATTTATATTTATTACGTTGAATTTAATTAGTAAAAATGTTTCAAGTAGTTTCATATACAGTTGTTGTATTAAGGTCATTGACTGATATTCTTTTGATGCATTTCATTTTTCTGTACATTACCATATCTTTTATTGTCACCGATGCGCCAAAGGTGATATTGAGAATTGCGACTTCCTTGTGTTGCTCGTGCGTCAGCCTCTCCTCTAGACAGTAATGTAGTGGTGTTTGTCCAAACTGCAATGAAATGATAATCAACGTCAAGTTTGTTGAACACGCACAACACAAGAATATCAATTAACAAATATTACGCAAACGTAAAAGTACCTGAAATAATTTATAACTACCATAATTTATTAACGCC